TTCCATCCCTTAACTTGCCCCTAAACATCTTGAGGTATAAGAAAAACTCAAATAGTCAGTCTATTATTTGGTCTGAATTGTAAAAGGCTAGCAAATTTTGGGATCATAATTGAGTCCTTAGCAAATGGATATACAAATTAAAGGAGACTATGGACAACTAGAAGGGTTAACTGGTTAAGATATTTAAATATCAATAATGAAAATAATAATAAGAAGAAGAAGAAAGAGAAAATGCAATATTATATTCTACGCATCCGACTTTTGTACCTATTGAGTGGTTCAATTGAATGAGAGGATATATAAAAAGGTAGAAGAATGATAATATGATCCGGGGCAAAAGTGACTGATATTCATGTTCCATTTTGCTAAATGCAATTAGTTAATGTTAATAATGAGAGAGCTCAATATTATTGCATAAAATCTTGTACTACATAGAAATACTTCTTGAATAATATTTACTTGATTTCACAATGAAATGTAGAAAAAAAAAAAAATCCTATGCAGAACAACCCTTCAATTCCATATAACTCTCACATCTAATCTGCATACATATCTTTTATCTAAAGAACAATTTGTTCGATTGAAAACCGGCATGTCTAACCAATTTCGACTCATTAGACGAGTACAAGACTCAAAAATCTCCATTTCATTCACAATCGAATCCAATAAACTACAAAAGAGTTCCAACTTCCAAATGTTTTATTACAACAAACTCCACAAGCTCACATTAGTATTATAAACTAGAAAAGTTTTTCAACCCAAGCACAACAAAAACACCCCACAAAATAACACCAATCTGCAGTTCCACACAAGTACATTGACATAAACTCATCTTAATTTCAAAAAGCCAAGTTTTCTAAATAAATCATTTGATTAACACAAGAAAACTGCAGCAGAAAAATAGGAAAAAACATTGTGAAAGGCAGATAAAATCAAATGGATATAAGACCTTCCTTAACAAGAAGGCCAAAAATAAGAACAAACAAACCAACTGTTATGCATTGTGTTGGGGAAATGAATGTCTGAGAGTAAGCAGAAAGCGTAATTACCGCGCCTAAAATCCCGATCAAAAACGAGCTTTTGTTCGAGTCCATGCTTCTTCTTAGGATCCTTCTTTGGAGTTCTGTGTTTAGTTTAAGATGAGAGAGATTGAAGAGAAAATGGAAATACTAACAGCCATTTTTCTTCTATCTGCTGGTTAAAGTCAACTCTCTGAGATTCATTGATGTGAAAATAAAATACTGTTTTCTCCTTGTTTGACTTCTCTATAAGTAATTGATTAACATCAATGAGAAAGTTTGAAATATTATACATAATTGTTCAGCTGGCAAAATCAGGCAGGCCTAACCTCCTTGGAATGTAATTTGCATGAGGTTTGTAAAAGATTAATCTTGACAAATCTTAATTGGGAAAAAAAATATTTCTATTTCAAAATCATGTTTAGATATTTGTTCTCCGTTGGATGATCGACACATGCGTAATTGTGATGTTACGTTGTCATTCATTCAATTGAATGAAACATGAATTGAAATATGATTTTTAAAAAGACATTTTTCATTTCCTTAACAGGACAGACTGCGTAATTTGGTGTATTTAACAAATACGAAAATAACTAAAAAAGGGATAAAATTAGTTTATGCAATTCGTTAAGCGTTTGATGTACAGTACATATCATTAGAACTGTTGAACGAAATGAGATGCTCGTGAGTTCGACTTGGCTCATCATGAAACCAATATAGTTTTCTATAATTCGACTCACAAAAGCTCGAGATCGATTTATTAATATTGATAAATGAGTCGAGCTCGAATGAGTTCAACTCGATACAGGTTGGAGTATATGATGAAACTGGACTTTGTCTAATATTATTATTATTTTACCATGCAGTCAATAATAAAGACTAAAGACACAGTCTTTATGCTAAAGGTCAATAATAAAGCTAATTAAATGACCTTTTTTTTTCCTTTTTCAATTTTTGGTGTCCCGAGGATAAGGTTGATTCCTGAATGCATATGATTCAACGAATACAGTCAAACTCAAGAACAGTCAATTATTTGTGTTGGTTAGAAAGTTGTTACTACACTATATAGTCTTTAGTAGTAACTTTTAGTTTTTACTATTAATTAAAATATGAACTACTTGTTTAGTTGTCTTCCGAAAGCTTAGCCGAGCTTGATAGTAGATTGTAAACGAGTCGAGTTTGAATTACTAATACTCGAGCTCAGGCTAAAACTCTTATCGAGCCGAATTTTCGTTTATAAGCTGATATAAGATAAAATTTGAATTTATCAATTCTAACGAGCAAAGCTACTAAACAAGTCTTAATTGGGCTCAAACTCGACTCATTTATCAAACGAGTCGAGGTGAGCTCGAAGTTTAACAAGTCAAACCAAATTCATAAATAACTTGTTTCGTTTAGTAGCTCTATTTGTAAACCTTTCATAGTTTAATTGATAAGAGTAATGGTTACATGATTTTATTAAAAAAATATATATGCCTTCAAATTATTATGTTGGCACAATCTGATACTAAAATTAAAAATGCCATGTTGTACAGGATAAAAGATGAATTTTAATACTGTGAAATGTGTGTGATAAAGAAATTTCTCAAGACTGGAATGATGCAAAAGAAAAAATAAATAAATATATATAAATTAAGACCTGAAGAGTATTTAAACCTCTAAATGTAATAAAATAAACAAGAAATTCGTCACAAAAAGCCTAACTCACGAGAATAATGCATCATTGGAGCCCCTAATAAAAATTAAATGCCTTTTGTGGTCCTTATAAGTTGGAAAATAAATGTGAACACTTAATTTCAATTATAAGGTTATTATGACTAACAAGTTGAGATACTAATCTCATCATTTTTATTTTTATTTTTATTTTTTCGTGTATTTTTTACACAAGTTGAAGTTTTTGAAGTTGTCAACTTTTGCAAGGTAGATGACTTCGGTTAAACAGATATCAACCAACAGGACTTTTTAAGTTATTTGATAAATTTGAATTCGTACTCATTAGATATCATGT